GAGTCAGGAGCTGCCGGCTGAGGCCCAAGTACTAACCCGCGGGGGGCCGTGGGGGTACCGAGGGGCGGGGTGGCCACTCCGAGGAGACAAGTGCGGCAGACAAGTGCTGCCGGCATCGTGATCGAGGCAGTGTCTCAAAGCTGGTTAGGCCAGGAGTGCAAAAAGGTCTCTTTATTTGAAACCCCCAACTGTCTGTCCCTGAGGCCCTGGCAGGCTCCAGGCAAACACCCAGCAAACTGCCCCCGTGCCCACCGCTGTGCCCGGGCATCTCCAGCTCTGGGGCAGAGGGGGTGTACTCTGTCTCCTTGTTGCCCCAGTTTGTGCCCCACGATGACGTTTGAGGGTGAATGTGGGTCCCCACCCGAACCCACAGTTTCATCAGGTCTTTGGGTCAGGGCCGCAGTTGCTGCTTTCCTTTCCTGGGGAAGAGAGCAGAAGGGAAGCCTCTGCCCTGTCTGTGGTGACAGCTGCCTCACCAACAGCTCCTTTCTCCTCCCATCCCTGTGTCCTTATCGTCAGCACCGGGATATCAGCGCAGGGTCTTCCTCTCTGCCTTCTCCTCCAGGCCCACTTCTTTCTTCATGCACCACCAGCCAGCTCCCGGTGCCTCCCTCCTTCCCTCCAGGGCCCAGACCCACCCTTCCTAGGGTTTGCTCTGGGCCAGCACCCTGCTCACTCTTCTGGCCTCCTGCTGTCTGTCCTAAGCCTTTTATAGGCTCCTCTCCCTCACCCCTGACTCTGGCCTCTCTGAAGCCCTGACCTGCCCTTCTCCTCTTGTGGCAGCTTCTGTTGCCCACCTGCCTGCCCAGCCCTAGGCCTCTGCTCTCCACCTGCTGCCAACTCCCTTACTGTGCACAGAGGCAGGACCGCTGCTACACGGACGGCTGGTCTGGCTCCAGGTCCTGCTCAGCCTTGGCCTCCTGCTCCTGGTCCTCTTTCATCCTCTGATGGATCTCCTTGGCCTCAGCTCTCTCTTCCTCCTCAAAGAAGTCCTTGTCCAGGCGCTCGAGGTGTGGCATCTGCACCAGGGCCTCCTGGCGGTATTCAGTCTCATCCGTGCACGGGTTCTCCAGCAGCACCAGAGCACGCAGCTTGGGCAGGTCCCGCAGCTTGGCCAGCTCCCCCAGACTGGTTATTGCATTGCCCCTGCCAGAGTGGTTAGGGGTGGGTCACCCAGGAATAGTGGGCCAGCCAGTAGTGGGGTCCTTGGGGGCCCTCCCACTGGGCCAGTTTCCCTCAGAGCACTGGGTGCTGCCCAGTTCCACTCCTGTCCTGCCCTTCAAGGAACCCCTGAGTATAGTATGCTGCCCTGGGGTGTGTTGTCCTTCATCTGCTGGAACAGCAGCGGGCTACATTGTCCCCCAGGGGAGGCACACAGGTCAGAGCAGTTTAGATGGCAAGATTCAGGCCTTGGAGGAGGGCCTGGCACCTGAATGCTGGAGTGGGCAGGTGCTATGTTGGTGCTGGCTGGGGAGGGAACCTGAAGTGAAGGGCAGTGGTCTCCCCGTGGGCCTCTAGTGGGCTACTGTGTATTTATTCTCCTGTTCTTCCTGCAGGCCTCTGTACAGTGTGCCCAAGTGGTTCAGCCTGGCACCATGGATGTTCTGGGCCTTGTAAGGAGTGTTCTGCTTTTGTGGGATGTGTGTCATCTCTACTCCTTGTCATTTAGATCCTGTGTCTGCAGAGACCCCCCCCAAGCATGCCCAGCTAATAGTCAGTGAAGATGGGTCACACACACACATACACACACACACACGATCCATGACAGCAGAGCTGATGGCCAAGAGATTGACCCAAAGGACAGAGGCCTGAGTGTGGGGCTTTCAGGTGCATTACCCTCTCCTGTTGCCATCTGGAGGATTTTTTGTTTGTTTGAGATAGGGTCTTGCCATATAGTCTAGGCTGGCTTTGAACTCACTGTGATCCCCCTGCCTCAGCCTCCTAAGTGTTGGAAGGATTTGTTCTTGTTACCTCCTAAGGAAAGAGACAGTTTTCCTATACTTTTACTTAAACACATATAAGGCCGGGTGCAGTGGCACATACCTATAATTGAAAGTTTGAGCCCATCCTGGGCCATTTAGAGACTTAACAAGACCCTGTCTCAAAAAAAAAAAAAAAAAAAAAAAAAAAGTGGAGCGAACAAGGGCCGGGGATGTAGCTCAGTGTGAAGCTTCTGGAATCAATCCCTAGTACTTAAGGAAAGAAACAAAAGAAGATGGAAAAGAAGAAAAGAAACATACATAGACCACCAGTGGCTGGAGGAAAAGCTAGGTGTTAGAGCCATACTTGGAATGAGTGAGGCCAGGGTTTAATACCCAGTACCACAAAACAAAGCAAGAAAAAATCCTCCACTATAAGAGTTGCTGACAAAAAAATCTCTTCCTCCCTACACCCTCCAGAGTCTTTCTACTTGAGAGCTTCTTTCAAATACTTTCCTCAACTCAAGCTGGAGGGCATCCATGTGTTTAACGTCAGTGAGAAGGGACAAAAGAAATCAGCACAGGGACAGTCATTCAGGGAAGAAAGACAAGAAATGGGAAGGGAAAAGGGGCAATGGGAATGTCTACATGATGGGGCCAACGAAAGAGAGTTAGGAAAAAAGAAAAGAAAAAGACTTGGGAGCTAGAGATGTGGCTCAGTGGCAGAGCACTTGCCTGGCATGTGTGGGTCCCTGGGTTCAATCCCCAGTACCACCACACACACACACACACACACACACACACACACACACACACACACAAAGAGAAAAAAAAAAACGGTGTGTGTCCAAAAGAGAGCTTGGAGCCTGACTGTGCATGGTACTGTATTTCCAGCTACTTTGGAGGCTGGAGGACTGCTGGAGCCTGGAAGTTCAAGGACAGGCTGAACATAGGGAGACCTCACTACGATAAAGAAGGAAGGAAGGAAAGAAAGGAAGGAAGAAAGAAAGAAAGCAGGCACAGAGACTTCCTTTAGGGGTAAAGGAAGCAGGAGCATCTGCAGGAGAAGGAGGGGAGGACCAGACTGGGCTACTAGGCAGAACAAAAACAGGCACCAAAGCTCTTCTGGCCTGGGCCAGCAGGCACAGGGCAGGGCTTGACTGGGAGGCACACCTCAAGTTGAGGTACTGCAGTGACTGCATCTCCTTGGAGAAGCCGCTCAGAGATTCAATGTGGTTGTCTCGAAGATGTAAGGTGGTGAGATCGCTTAAGTTCTCCAAGCCTTCCATGTTCTTCAGCATGTTCTGGGCCTGCTCCCCAAGACATAGGAGATCAAGCGAGGAGGGAGAGGTAAGGGAGGGGCATCAGAAAGAGATAAAGCACAAGAGGAAATGCCAGAGAGGACAGCAACATGGGAGAGGGAAAGGGGCAAGCAGTGAATAGTGAAAGAGCTGAGAATGTCCCAGAGAGGCTGGGTGTGCAGCTCAGTGGGGCAGAGTACGTGGCTGGCACCCAGGGCCCTAGGTTCCATCCCAGAGGAAAGTCCGCTGTATTCCCTACTGAGGGCTCACCAAAGCCCCCTCTAAGGGGGAGGTATGTCCCTTCACCTCCAAGGCCAGGGAGCCCCAGACACGACTGCAGCATCCCCTGGAGTCAAGCAGCTCCAGTCTAAAAGGCTGGGCCTGCAAGTGGCCGCCTTAGCCTGAGCACACAGCGCAGACTGTCTCTGCATCTGCCAGCTGGGTGGAAGCATCCTGGCTGCTTTCACTTCACATCTCCGTGGACTCTGGCACCAAAGAAGGGCTCCACTGATGACCCTGGCTTCTGTTATGAGGGAGAAGCTGGGGACTGAGCCCACAGGAACCTGAGCATTCTCATTCCCCGCACCACCCGGTGGCCCGGGGAGCTACCAGAAAGAGCTTCTTCAGCTTGGGCAGGTTGATGCCTGTGGTGGTGTATAGCTGGTTCCCGCGGAGCTCCAGGGTGTGCAGGCTCTTCAGCTTCTCCGCGTCCAGACCGGTCACTGCCTGGATGCGGTTCCCTGGGGAGCAGGGGATCGGCACTCAAAGGGCTACTCTGAGGGTTCAGCGTTACAGCCCAAACTAACAGCCTCCTTCAAACACAAGAAGGGTGCTGGGGAAGGCCAGCTCTCGATGCTGCCTTGGGAGCCCTGGGCAAGTGGACCTAGGGGAACATGTCCACTAAGCCTTTGAGGGAAAGCAATGTACACGTTTGACTCCGTCTCCTGCAGGTCTTTGCTCAGATGTCTGCGTGATGCTCATCCTAACCCACCTGTTCCAAATTGTCACTTATGCCTCCCCCATTCTGCTTTCCTTAATCTTTTTTCTGAGGCAGGTACCTCCTCTTTGCATACTGTATAATTTTACTCATTTATTGTGTTTATTGTTAATTGCCTGTCTGCCCCGACTAGAAGTAAGCTATGAGAGAACAGGGATTTTTTTCCCCAGTACTGAGGATTGAACCAAGGGTCTTTACACTGAGCTTATATCCCTAGCCTTTTTATTTATTTTATTTTATTATTTTATTTATTTATTTTATACTGGGGATTGAACTTGGGCCCTTGCACTTGTGAGGCAGGTGGTGGAAACACTGAACCAAATCCCTGGCCCTTTCCTAGCCTTTTTTTTATTTTGAGATAGAATCTTGCTAAGTTGTCCAGGCTGAGCTCAAACTTGTAATCTCCTGCCTCAGCCTCCCACAGTGCTGAGATTCCAGGCATGAGCCATTGGGGCCAGATTAGAATAGGAAAGTTTGTTTTGTTCAAGGCTATATCCCCAGCATGAAGAAGTGTCATAACAAATCCTAGTACATGTCCTGATTTTTTAAAATGATGCTGAGGATCAGATCCAGGACCTTGAGCTGGGTATGGTAGTGCACAACTATAATCCCAGCACTCAGGAGGCAGAGGCAGGAGGATCACTGTGAGTTTGAGACCAACCTGAGCTACACAATTCAAGGCCACAGTGAGCTACATAGAGAGCTACATACATACGTTCAACAAAACAAAACACAATTTGACTACTGAGCTATGTCCCCAGCTCTGAGTGTCTTAATGAATGAATGCATGCAGATTGCTCTATGGTTCAACGAAGGACCACACTGACCACTTCTGTGAACCCCCAGCTAGGACGGAAAGAGTAGCCCAGCAGGGGGACCTGCCTTTGAGATCCAGGCTCGCTAGGCGAGGGTGACAGATGCCTTCAGTGTTGGAGATCTGGTTGTAGGCAAAGCTGGCAATCTGCAGGTAAGGCAGCTCATTCAGCTGGGCACTCCGCAGCTGGTTGCCATCGGCCTTGAGCCACAGCAGGTGAGTGAGATTATTGAGCGGCGCCAGGTCTGTCAGGTGGTTCTCAGAGACATCCACATAGCGCAGATGGATGTAGGAGCACAGCAAGGAGATGTCTGTCAGGTCTCTAGGAGACGCGGGCAGGGAGAACCAGGGTGGGGAAAGAATGAGGAAAACGGGCAGAAGAGCTAAAGCCAAGGACAACACAGAGAGGGCCACAGTGAGTGGGGAGGGGAATCAGTAACACTGGAGGGGTGAAAAGGGAACAGGAGGTAGGGGTGTGTATGTGCGTGCATGTGCATTACTGAGAATGGAACCCATGACTTGTGAGTACCACAGAGCTCTATCCCAGCCCTGTAGCGGACAGACTGTGTGTTCTAACAGTTCCTAACAGTGGACAGACTGTGCGTCCATGTGGGGCAGAGACCAAACTCTTGAAACGGTGAGAGGGTGAGAATCCACCAGCAGGAATATTATACACACAGACACACACACACACACATGCATGCACAAAGCCTCCAATTCCTGAGAATCTTCCGAGTTTGTCCTGTGTGCCTCATGCTCTGGGGATGAACCAGCACCTCCAGGAAGCTAGGCAAGTGCCCTCCCACTGAGGTGGACACCAGCCCCAGGGAGGCCTAGAGGTCCTGAAAGGTAAATCCCATCCTTCCCTTGTCCACGGGGCTGGATGAGAGATCCAGTCTCACCGAACACCAGGCATAAGAGTGGGAAAACAGGTGGGGGTCCTACAATCTCAACCACCGGTCGCTCTGTTCCCCAGAACACACCTGTCTTTAAGATCCAGTTTCACATAAGCGTGCGCCAGCCCATTGCCCGTCTTACAGAGCATAGATAGCCCTTCCTTCACCATGTCCTCCGTCAGGGGCGTGGGCAGCCACTGCAAAAGACGTCCCAGTCCCACGTCTCCTCTGGGCCCCTCGCTCCAACCCTCGGCCCTGGACACCCTCCCCTTTCCCGGCTCTCACTTCTTCCGGCAAGTCTTCCCCCTCTTTCCTGTAGTCTTCCCACTCCTCCGCATCCTTATCGTCTTCTCTCTCCTGTTCATCCTGTTCTGGCTCCAAGTCGTCCAGATCCTCTTCGTCCGACATATTTCTCCTCGTGGGAGGTTCCCGGAGTCAGATCAAGCTCAGTCCTCGTCCTCGTCCTGAGAAAGAAGGTCTAGGCTTCCAGCAACCCCCAGCTCCCCCACCTCTCTTGACAAGTACCTGCCCATTACCCGACCCCCAACGGTGCTTCGCCCTTGCAAACATCTGCTGACTGCCACCCCCATTTCACAACCCTCTCAGACCCCCAGAACTTTCTAACCTTCATTCCCCACTTAGCCCCATTTCCCTGTGTCCTCTGTCCTCCCACCAAATCCCCCTTCCCAAAGGGGTGCAGACCCTGGCTTTCTCAACTGGAAGCAGTTGTGGGGAAGGTCTTGGTTCAAAGCAGGATTGCTTTAGAAAAGGGGTAAAGGGTAAGGGGTAAGCGTTGTGTACGGTTGCTATGGCAACGGGGGGCGGAGCGCTGGCCCCTGCCGCCGGGGTCTAGGACCTGGGGCGGGGGGGGGGGGCAGACGTTGCCTGGTTACGGTGCCAACTTCCGAGTCTCAGGAACCCGGATGAAGCTGGACTAGGTGGCGCTCCCTGGCGGAGGTTGCAAGACGGCGGGCAGCGCTTAGCATAGGGGCAGTGGGCGGAGCCATCCATTGCGTCACCTGAAACCTTAAAGGGACAGGCCATCCTCACCACAACAGCACTGTACAGTATTGTGAATTTAGGAGAAATTTATCCCTGGAAGCAAAAGGGGCAAGATGGGTGTGGGAGTCGCTAGGTGTAGGAAGAAGTATCAAAGTAAGGTGTCTTGAACTCATATAGGCCCCGCCCATTAGTTATTTTCAGGTAAACTTTGGGAGATGATTTCATGGAATAAAAGGAGCCCAGGCCGAGGTACAGTATCGTAAAACCTGGGTTAGAATCTCGGCAAATCTGCAGCTTACCAGCAAACTAAATAAACTATAAACTACGGCAAGATGAGCTAAGCCTCAAGGAAAATTAGAGTGTAAAAGAGAAAGAACTAGGGCTGGGGATTTAGCTCAGTGGTTCAGCCGCCTGCCTCCCAAGCACATGGTCCCGAGTTTGATTCCTCAGTACAAAAAGAAAAAAAAGTTCTAAACAATAACAACAAAAAAAGGAGAGAGAGAAAGAACTGACAGAATCTGCTGGTGACAGCCCAGCAAACAACAAACCTGCCGCTTCGCCCGTCCTCTGCCCACCCCCTCCCTGCTGCCTGCCCGCCCTTTTCTCTGTTCCTTGTAACAAACCATACATACGGGTCTCCACTGCCTACTGTTCTGTCACCTTACTTCTTTGTCATCTCAGAACAAGAGCCCAAAGGGAGGAAGCTGATTATACTGCAATTGTTGTGAGGAAAAAGGGTTAGTATGAAGGCACTCTGAAGAGGTGGAAGCTTTATTGCCCTTTGTTTCCGGCCACTCAGATCCAGCTGACCAAATCAAAGGAACACAGATTGTACAGTTGGGGGCAGACGGACTACTCCCCTCCACTCCCCTGAAACTAGGCAGTGTCCCAGGGCCAACCCCCATGACCTTTGTCCCAAGGTCCACTACCTGAAGCCACCAGAGAAAAGGATCACAACCCCCTCAAATGGAGGAGCTTCCTTTGCCTGTAATTTGACACTGGGAGGGGGAGGCAGGAGGGTCATGACCAGACTGGGTTTTATAGTGAGTTCAAGGCTAGCCTGAACTGCATAGCAAGATCCTGTCTCAAAAACAACAAACACAAAGCCAAGAAAAGGATAACAAAGATCTCTGGAAATTCCAAAATCCCAAACCAAGATGCGTACCTGCCTACGGGACCTGTGGGGATGACCTAGAATTCATTAAAAGCTCATTCATATGGACTGCATCTCACGGATCCAAGTGTAACAGAGGGAATTATGGGAAAGGACATGCACTGTAACTACAGAAGAGTGACTCAGCACCCAGTCAATCATCTTAGCAATCATGTTTGAACACCAGATAGGAGCGGCCCTGGACCCCTCCCAACATTTTAAATTCTTTGGCTTTTTTTCTCTGTTTGTCTGCAATTTAAATTCTTAAATTTAAATGCCCTGAACTGGTCCTGTCAGTTGAGTATAACTTGCTACTTTGTCCTTACTGTGGTGAAACCTGTCCTGGAATCTCATCACCTACGGTAACAGAAGGAGGTAAAAGGAGAAAGGATTTACTCAGAGTTCGCTTCCGAGGAGGGGTTGGGACGCCCTGGCCTCTGATCACCATCCTCCCAGCTCCCAGTGTTGGACTCTGGGGTCTACAGGGACTCACAGGCTGGCATGGGATTAGGTACACCAGTAATTCTGAATAATGAGGTGCCAGCCTGCACGATGGGGCCTTTCCTAAGTGCCAGGAAGTGATGCATTTTGCTGTGCTGGGGACTGAACCCAGAGCCCCTACCTCTGACCCCTGCCTGCAGCCCAGGAGGTAATTTTGTAGCACACATGTAGGAAGTTTCATATGCCCAAGGTGGATTCCAAGTAGGGGCAGAGCTCCAGTGTGGCCTGGAGGAGAGGCAGGGCCAGTGTGGGGAGGGCACAGGAGCAGGGAGCAGCCCATGGCAGCCTCCTCCTGGAGCCATCGGCAGCCGGGTGCCTTGTGTTCAGGGCAAGGACTGGAGCTGGCTGCATCACCAGGATATGTTACTTCATGACACCCGATAGCCTTCCCCGCCGGCCAGCCTAGAGAAATCGAGTTATTAATTGAAACAAAAGTACAAGTACAGGCCAGGTTTGCAGCTCAGTGGTACCCATTTGTGAAGCCCTAGGTTCAGTTCCTAGCACCACAAATAAAGACAACAACAAAGCAAATAATAGGAAGTGTACAGGGAGAGACACAGACCTTCATGATGCCTCAGTGCCACCATGTTTTATTAATATATAAAATTTAAAAAATTAGAAATGGCAGAACTGGGTAAGGTGTTGCATGCCTGTAATTCCAGAACACAGGCGGCTGAAGCAGGAGGGATCACTGCTAGTTCGAGGCCAGATTAGATTACACAGTGAGTTCAAGGCCAGCCTCGGCAATTTACCAATTTAGTAAGACCCTTTCTCAAAATGAAAAATATAAAGAACTGGGTCTATAAGTCAGTGCAAAAGCCCTGCATTCAGTCCTTGGTACTGTAAAAACAGAACAAAACAAAAATGATATGAATCATAATAAATACTGTTCATCAATTGCATTTTTAAATGTAGCAATGGTTTGAGCCAGGTATGGTGGAGCACACCTGTAATCCCATCACTAGGAGGCTAAGGTAGGAGCACTGCTGTGAGTTCAAAGCCAGCCTGGGCTACATGGTGAGTTCAGGACGAGTCTGGCTTACAAGTGAGAACCTGTCTCAAAAAAACATGTTTTGGGCATCTTTCATATCACTAAATGTAGCTCCACCTCTTCATTTTTATGCTTGTCTAGTCTCCTATTATATAAATATACTACAACTTTTAACTGTTCCCTATTGATGGGTGTAACTTTAAAGAAACTCTCAGGGCTGGGTGTGAGGCTGAAGGGTGAGGCATGGTGGTGCACGCCTGTAAACCCAGCACTCGCGAAGCTGAGGCAGGAGGATTGCACGGAGTTCAAGAACAGCCAGAACTACATAGCAAGACCTGTCTCAACCCCCCCGCAAAAAAAAACCCCAAACACCCTAAATAAATAAAGCCTCAAATATGAGATTCGCAGGAGCACTCTGGCCGCTGCAGCCCCTCTGGAGCTGGCTCAGTGTGGACAGGGCAGCACCTTAGCGGCCGGGCCGTGTTCAGGAGCAGAACACCCAGAGGTGAAGGTCCGCGCCAGCGGCGGAGAGAAGCAGGGCGAGGACAGAGGTGCTGAGAAGCTGGCACCGCTAGCGGCCGCTCGGGGGCGCGCGAGGCATTCGGGCGCGGGATCGCGCACGACCAGCCGCCCACGTGACCTTCTGCGGAGGGAGCCGCCCCGCCCCCACTGTGGTAACGTAAATGGAGAGGCGGGGCCAGAGTTTCCCATCTTCCCAGTCGGTAGCCATTTCCTTCCTATTCAGCTGATTTACCTTTTCTGCACTTCATGCACAAACCTGTAAAAACTGGAAAATTAGTCGTGGGAGTGAAAGGAGATGCGGAGCTTCGTCTTATGCCATTTAGGGTGGGCATCGCGCCCGTGACAGGGGAGCCCGAACTGTCGTTCCCGGGCCGGACCTGGCCCTCCGCATCTCGCCTGTTCCTGAATGGTTCTGGCGCGTTTCCAAATTAGGTGCCGGTGCTTTCAGAACCCTCCTCCGTAATGCCTTCCGAAGGCAGTTCAGCCACCTCACTTGGCTCCCAAGCAAGGAAACAGCGATCCCTTTCCGACATGAAGGAAAACTAGCTTACTAAGCAAGGGGTGAGATGTCCTTCTGGAAAGTGGTACAAAAATAATAGCTTCAAGAAATGCACACGCCTGTAATCCCAGCTCTCAGGGAGGCTGAGGCAGGAGGATCAGAAGTTTGAGCCCAAATCAGGACAGTGAGTGAGACCATGTCTCAAAAATTGAGAAAGAGAGGGTGTATCTACAATCAAGTGCAATCGAGACTCAAGAAATTAGTAAAACAGGCTCGTCAGGTTCTAAAACTGCCACAGTGACAGCAAAGTGCGTGTTATTAATCTTTACTGAAGACCGAAATTAAACATTGCTGGAAGATATGAACCAGAAATGCATGCCTAACAGTTGCGGGACATGGCAAAACTGGGCGCAATGGGGCGATCCGCTCAGACGGGGGTGCAGCTCAGTGGTAGAGCAAGAGTTTAGAAGGCTCGCAGCCCTGCGTTCAATCTCCGTGTACTGGGGAAAGGGTGGTGGTGGCAGCAGTTGGCCAGCATGGCTAGAAGGCCAGGTCGGATCCCAGCACCACAAAAAAGAAAAGAGGCCCTGCCTGGGCGGCAGCACCTCCCCTGATCAGTCGGGCAGAATCTCGCAGAGAACAGAGGCAGTGTCTGGGCAGGGTTCCCACAGTGCCACCCTGGCACCTCGCTCTTCATAAAGGCGCAGGAGCCCCCTCCTGCTCAGCACCCCCCAACCCGTGCATGCTCACCCAGCGTGCTTTGCTCAGGGATGAGGATGCCTGCCCTCCTCCTGCTGGGTCCTGAGCTGCATCCTCTGCATCATCAGTCTCATCATTTACACCAAACAGAAAGTGGATGAGGGGGAATGCGATTGGGGTTTTAGTGATTTCTGTGAGACAGAGGTGAAACTCATTGTTCATATAGCCTAGCAAGCGTATCGGGATGGTTTTGTAGACATCACTGAAGAAGAAAGGAAAAGAAAAAATTTTTTCAGAACTCAAGGCCTCACACTGAGCAACAGATAGGGTCCCACTAAATTGGACAGGCTGTTGTCAAACTTGCAGTTTTCCTGCCACAGCTGCTGGAGTAGTTGGGATTACAGGTGTGCACCATGGCTCCTGGTTTAAGAATTTCTTGAGAGCCACAGAGAATAATAAGTAAAATAGGGCTCAGATATACCACACCTGCCTGGCAAGGACAAGAACCTGTGTGTGATTTCCGGTACAAGAAAGTAAATAAATACCGTAGGGAGCTGATAAAATCATCCTCAAAAGACAAAGATGAACAGGAAGAAAATATCAGCTTAAGTCGTTCTAAATTGGATGTTGGGAAATGGGAAGGGGAACGGAGAAGGGAGGGAGAAAGGTACAAGAAAAAAGTGAAAAAAGAACAGGAAAAGTAAATAAAGCTTTTGTACATAGGGAAGTGAGGGGGCTTGAGAGGGGGAAATGGGATAAAATAAAATAAATTTTATTTTTAAAAATCACTTTAGCCGGGGATTTAGCTCAGTGGTTCTGCTGCCTGCTTTGTAAGCACAATCAAGGTCCTGAGTTTGATCCCCGATACAAAAAAAAAAAAAATCATTCTAAATTCATTTAAGTGTCCCATGCTATAAAATAGCTCAATGACTTAATTTCTGAATAAAGCCCTTGTATTAAATGTGGTTATATTGGTACCTTATAATTCTTTGTAACTCAGCAATTCTACCATTAATTTGTATCCAACAGAAAGACCTTCTGGGCTAGGTGTAGCTCAGGCTTAGAGGCCCTAGGTTCTCTTCCAGCACTAGAAAAAAGAAAACAAATTACTGTGTACATGATGTACAAACCTTTTGTGGACCTAGGCATGCTTTGTCGCGGGGAGAGACTAAGACTGGAAACCAGGGCCACATTGGCATATGGTTAGGCAAGGACTCTGCCACTGACCTACATTCCTCAGACCCCACTTCTGAAGATTGAGCCCAGGACATTTGCACTGAGCTACATCCCCCACCTTTTTTTTTTTTAATTAAAAAAATTTTTTTTGAGATAGGGTCCCAATATGTAGTTCAGGCTGGCCTTGCCTGAAACTCACAGTGATCTTGTCTCTCGAATGCTAGGATTACAGGTGTGTGCCACCACACCAAGCTACCTGCTAAACTTTTGTCTCTTTATCATCTTTGATCATTACTTAATTTCCAGTCCTTAGCACAAGTCATTGAACGGGAGCCAGAAACTGCTCTAAATGCTTTACATATAAGCTTGTTGCATCCTACACAATAGATATTCATGGAAGCTCTGATTAACACAGGAGGTCGATGCATGCTGGCCTTTGAGTGTTCATGCCCAGTCTGGTTCAGCATCTTTGGCCTCTTTCATGTCGCCTTGCTATAGTGTGGCACTTAGGAAATGTTCAGGAAACAATAGTTATGCTCAGGGGGTACTTGCTATGCACCAGGCTCTGTGCTAAGTGCTCTAACTGGATTTTTTTTTTTTTAATAGTCTAAAACTTTTTGGTACCAGGCATCAAACTCAGGACCTTACACTCTCGAGGTTCATAGCCGCCTTTCTTTACCCAGGCTGACCTCAAAGTCACTATCTTCTTGCCTCAGCCGTCTGAGTAGCTGGGACTACAGGCACATGCCACCTCGCTTGGTTTCACCTAGGTTGTTTCAACTCTAAAACAACCTTGTGATGTAAGTACCATCCTTATTGCCATTTTACATAAGAGAAAACAAGTTTGGATAGTTTGGCAACCTCCGCAGAGCTTCTCTTGGAACAACTCTCAGAAATAGGACAGAGGCATGCGGTAGTCTCAGCCACCCAGGAGGCCGAGGCTGGAGGCTATTTCAGTGCGGGATACAGAGCGATACCCGCATCTCAAAACAACAAGGACTTAGCCCTGAGCTCTACTGAGTGAGAGAGGAAAGGGACTGCGCGGTGTGGAGAGCAGCTGGAGACCTAGACACCTACAGAGCAGAGCCCGGGACAATTGGGAACCTCTGGCTTCAGCGAAGGCTGGCGCTGGCTCTGGCTTAAAGCAGGAAGGGACCAGCCCAGCAACGGTGAACCAGAATCTCGGGACCTCAGAAACCAGGCCGTCACAGGGAAGCCTTTCGCGACCCCACGCCCACGCCGTCCGAGCTCAGGAGCCAGCCGCCCAAGTGGCCCACAGGTCTCCACTGTGCACACCCGCCGGGACCCCAGAGAGTGGCCTGGCGTCAGAGGTTTCATTCCGAGAGGGGACAGCCCGGGGCGGACCCCAGGTGGAGACGGGAGGGGCAACGTCCTGCAGTACCCCCGACCTCCGCGCACATCACCCCTAGGACTGCAACCAGAGGTTCCCCGCGCCGCGCCCTTAGCACTACCCGGAGAG